ATATGGACCATATAAAGTATTACTTATAACTACATTATCTATATATATATATATATATATATATATATATATATATATATACCCTTTAAAAGAGCCAGTTACTGAAAAACTTTCCCATCCCCAAATTAACCTTCAACCATCTTATAAATACCCAATTTCTCCCTTAATATCGTTTCTTAAAATTCGTCAATCTGCATCGGAACTTTCCACCTCCGTTACGCCTTCCTCTCCGCCGAAGCCGAATAGTTCATCAATTACCATTCTCCGACGAAGGCGAAGCGTTACAGGAATTTGCAAAGATGAGGATTATTCATCGGTTACCCTTCTCCGTCGAAGCCGAAGTGTTACAGAAATTTGAGATTACTATTTCTTCAGAATTTCCGCAGTCATCTCCAAAGATTTCTGAATTTGGGCATTCAGTAAGGTATTTCTTCTTCGTTTTCGTTATTTCTTCTTCGTTTTCACTCTTTTATACAAAACCCTAACTCTACCTATCCCCTTTTAGTTCTTCAGTCATCTCATTTTCTTCTAAATTTGCCCTAATTTTCGATTTCCTACAGTTTCAAGCGACTAGGGTTTAATTATTCCAACAGCAGCTGTATCGCCATTAGGAAGTAAGTTGAGTTGAGTTGAGTTCTTTAAATTTTCAGATTTTGATTTTGGTTGTGATTTCTTTCCTAAATTAGTTATGTTTTCCAATTATAACTTATTTTGATCATTGACTGGGTTAATTAAGTCAAGATACATAGTAGTGCATTATAGCCCACAAATTGACATGATAAGCAAATCCCTAGAAATCTATAAGAAATCAAGGCACATGAATTTATTCTTGTGATGTTTGTGATAAGCTGCTTAATTTGGGCTTACTGCAGTTTATGACTCATTCCAGGTGAAGCAATCACTTGTACTTTATTAACTGGTTATTATCTCTTTGCCTTGAGATTCATTCCCTTCATAATATGCTCATGTCAGTTTTTGTGATATTATCTCTTTACCTTGAGATTCATTATTTTCTGATAAAGTTTGCTTAATGAATAGTGACATTTCTGTTGGTTCAATCTACTACTTGGATTGTGGCAAATTTATAATTTTGCCAAGACTGGATAACCTTATTGAGATGTTTTTACAATTGTTTTTAGTATTTTGTTTTCTTTCCACATCTTTTTAGTAGCTGCATATTGATCGTGTTCGTGTTCCATATTGTCCAAATAGTGCAAATCTTTCTTCTTCTCATAATTTATTCTGCTATATTTAATTGCAAAAATATAGAACTTGGGGAATAAATTGGATTGTTCATTATGAATATTAACATTCTTCCTCCCATGTCATATGTAAAGGCTTTCTGCAGATAGAAATCACTTGGAAAGGGATAAGAAATGAAAGAAAATAAATATATTTGTATTTTTAACAATAAGTTCTATAATCATTACCTCTTGATATATAATTGGTGATTTAGAACCTTTGATGCTGAACGAACCTAACAGTGTTAGCTTTCTGTTCTGTCTATCGTTACCATGATTCAATTTCAGGCAGTTGATACCTTTTTTGCATTCAATGTTCCAGTTCACACTCTCCTACATTATGGTCATTCTATCATAACATTTAGTACTGATTTTGGTTTTTAATACAGAATTCAATGGATATATAGTTCGTTCCATACTGTTTGTCATGAATATAGTTAGCATAACTTTCTGTTATGTTGTGCATCTTAAATTTATTTAGCTTCAAAATAAGTTCCATGTTCTGCATAATCTAATTGCACCTGCCGTCTCTGCATCCTCATAACACACGATCCTGTTGTTATATCAATACAATGACACACTTCAATCACAGAGCAGTTGTGCAGCAGACTGCTTCTTGAAATTAAGATAATAAAACTTATAGGTTTGAAATCCCAGTTTCATGGGTGAATTGGGATTTTTTTTTTTTTTTTTGGTATCTGTATGTGGAGTTTGTTGGGAAGTGTTGGCAACAACTTTGAATCAGAATTACAAAAAATATTCACCAAATTAGTTTCATTTTCATAAGCGGAGATGATAAAGTTAATAATCTTTATATGAGTAATTAGGAAACTTATGGATAGCAGTAACTATGCATAAATTAATTTAGAGTTTTACTTATTCAACATATGCATAATTTAACCTAAAAAATAACAAATCGATGACAAATAGGCTTTTTTGACTATCAGGGTTATTTTTAGCAAAACATTAAAGAAATATTATATATAGACCACTCAATTTCTCATGATTTTTAAATTAACTCATCTCATTTTCCTAAATTTGTAAAATTTTTGAAGAAACATCCTATTTGTCAAGAAACATCATTTGTCTGAATAATCATTTTGCTACCACACAAAGTGTTCCTAAAATGGTTATAGATGTATGCTTTTAGGTTAAGATGTACAAGTCATACTGAACAATTTGAACGATTATTTCTGTAACTGCCTATTCTCTCATTAGATTTTTATGAGAAGTTCAAATTTTAACATAGACATTTTTATTTATGCAAAAATTTTCTGTAATGTTCTCAAGTTTATTTCTTCCTAGCTTATCTTTCTATGATGCATCACTTTTGGGAGTCTGTGACTTTACTTTAGCACTCTATTTCACTGAATTGTTACTTTAACTTTGTTCACTTTTGCTGAAATTGAAATTATGCACATTGTGCATGAAGGGAAATTTTTGAATACTTGTTTTAAGTTCTGATGCTTCTTTTAATTCTATGATTAATTACTTATTTGACACCTCATGCTACTCTTTTTTAATTTGCAGTATGTATTTTTCTGTGACTACCTTGAAATGACCAAACTGAAGCAAACTTCCTTATATGATGAATTAACAGAACGCAAATGTACATGTAAATAATATATTTAGTATCATAGTGTTTGAATAGTACATGTTAAAGACTATTACACAATATTATATAAGAGTATTGTGATGTCAACTAAATGTTGTCACAGACATCATCAAGATAACTAATTCTACATATAGAGTGGTATTATATATAGTCAGTATAATGAGTGCCTGAAAACATGATTCTTTAATAGTCCCACATTCGGCTCAGCCTGGGGATTCGTTAGCTGCCTTTATGCTACACATAAACTGAATTAAGAAGCAAAAATTCTAATATGAACATTGAAGATCATATGGTTAGTTTATATTTCAGTTATATTTCAGTTATATTTCTTTGCTTATGAACTTACCTTCTACTGGGTTTTAATATAAGCTGTTTCTAACTTATTTTTTGCTGAAGCTTTTCCTATCTTTTTCATTAGCTCTTAGATGCTTTCCCAAACAATGGGAAGTGGTGTCACATGACACAACTTCCCATGGGCTGGATCCGCCCCTGTTTGTATGGTTGGATTATATAAACTGAAAAATCACTTCATAGTTTCTAATAATCATTACAGTTTGTATTAATCGATACACTATGTAATCTATTGTACTTGTTACCTTTTTGAGGCTGTGGTAGCAGCAAAATTCATAACCTTCACAATAAGAATCGTCACATATGTTGATTTGTGTTTACTTTCGCAGCTAGCTCATTTGTTACTAGAACCAAAAAATGTTAGAACATAGGATTTATTGTCCTTGTTAGCGAGTTCAAATTTCTTCATGCATACATATGTTATTTCTAAAATGCCATCAGTCTTAGCATGATCTTTATATAGCTTTAATGGATTTATTGTTTTTTCCATTGATGATTTGTTATCACTTAATTCATTAATGCTGTCTTTTTCTTGACTTTTTTACATTAGTATATTTTGACAGCAGATGAAAATATTAAACAGACAGCGCATAGGGAGGTTGATGTTCAAGTGGATCTCTTACATGCTGACACTGGTGCTAATCGTCTTGTGAGTGGTCTGTTTAAAGGGAAAACAATCATTTATGCTGATTTGAAACATGTGGTCTTGAGAATCCTGCCTAAATATCTACCGGAATAAATGAATTGAAAACTAAAATTGACATATTGGGACAATGTCGACACAAAGAACATCTTCCGGGTAAAGTTACTTGAAACTCTGGAAACTATCAGGAGATTTGTAGTTAGATGGTAGTTAAGCTTTTACCAAAAGGATTACAGCTCACACTAATTACATTTTGGATAATTCTGAGTTGCTGTTGTGAAAATTTCTTGTAAACTTATGACAACCATTGATCTCAGGCCAACAAGTTGCTGTTGTGCTATTTGCAGAATAGTTAAGGGAAAGAAGAGCAAGAGAGGGGTGATCAGAGAACAAAACCTATTAAACGAGAGGGTCCTAATAAGTTGGAGGCTGGTGTATCTACCAATTCTAAACTAAACGATTTGGGAAAATCTGAGATTGTAAAAATAGCATAAAAAAGGTCGCTAATAACTAAGAAAAAGGTTGACAAGCTGGTGCATCTGATGCAACTTGATAAGAATGAGAGAAAAATTAATTTGTCTGATAGGTTATTGTTTGCATATGTTAGATGATTGTGAAAAAATATGCTTCCAGAATTTGCATTGAACAATTTTTTCACCTGTTTTTCACCTTGATGGAAATGTTCAATACAATACATAGAAAATTTCAAATTTAGTTCATATATAGTCCTTTCAAATATGAGATTGACATTTGCACTTACAGTTTTTTCCTTCTTCTTCAGCTACGGAGGAGGTCAATGGTTCAAGAAAATGAGGTTGTTGTCCAAGCCATATTCCATTCTATAAAATAAGTTCGTTATATTGAAAGTACTGCATAATTAAGAATATATGCGTCCCTGTAATTTTCTTTTGCTTAATAAAATTTCGATAAAAGTAATCAAAATAGATTATGATTACCTTATTTCTTGGATATTTGGATCTTTTTGACAAAAAATGTTTAATTTAAGTGAGAGTTTTAAATCGTGTACATAACACAATTCTCCTTGCTGCAGTTATGCTTGTTTCTCATTAATATTTCAATGTGATTGTTCCTAAAAGTGTAGCCTCTGAGCGTAGCTGAGAGCAGAGCAGAGCAGAGCAAAATAACATACCAATTTACATGAACTGCGCGAGTTGCATATGTCCATATATATATATATACGTGCCTCTTTTTGCATATTATTATTATTAATTTAGTTATGAATTATATGACAGATAATCAACAGTCGATTTGAAAAAAAAAGGGAACAATTTTGCTAACATAAAAGTTCTTCTTGCAGGCTTTCGCATGGGACTACCGCGCGCTCATCCCTCCATATAATAATCCAAACACAGTGGGTTCGAAAATATTGCAAGGAGTAAATTATGCATCCGCTGCGTCTGGAATTCTTAATGAAACAGGAACTCTATTTGTACGTAAGGGGAGTTTATGTCTGTTAAATTCTCCCTTTAATCATGCTATCCGATGAAAATTCATTCGTGCGTTGTGCTGTGTTGTTAACAGGGACAATTATTCCCGCTGGACGAACAAATCCAAAATTTTGGGAAGACGTTGGAAGAATTAAACTCTCTCCTGGGAGGAGATGTTGGAGATTACCTCAAGAATTCTCTGTACTTTGTTTGTGTTGGCAACAATGACTATCTCAACAACTACCTGCTCCCTCTCTCTAATAAACCTAAGAAATACACGCCTGAAACTTTTGCTGACCTACTCCTGCATCATTTCAACAGGCAACTCAAGGTAAACGTACAGCGTGGCTACTATTCCGAACGGCTCTGTTTCTTATGGAAAAATATTGATTAGTAAACGACGCGCATATCCCAATTAAAGTGTATCTTTTTTTCCTATAAATATTATTAATTATTAAAAAAATTTAAGTTGTGTTTATTTTAGGATTTGTATAATTTAAGAGGGATGAAATTTTTAATCACTGGCCTCAGACCGCTTGGGTGCATCCCGGAGCAGATAGGGAACTCGGGGAATACGTCGTCATGTGTTGAGTCAACGAACCACTTGGCATCAGTCTTCAACTCCAAACTCAAGGCAATGCTCGACCAGTTGAATATTGATCTCGATGGCTCGTACTTCCTCTACTGGGATACATATTCTTCAACCTTAGATGTTATCACTAATTATTCAAGCTATGGTACTCTTTTTTATTTTTCTTTCCATGGGAAATTGATATAGTTTGTTGAAAGATCATGAAACTACACTGAAAAATTTTCTGCATGCAATGCAACTAGACTCGAGATTTGCTTATGCTCATACACTATGCGGCCATGAGTATGACTTCTATTCTCTTGCATTATTTCATTAAAGTTTTCCTGTATACAATAAGACATTTGTTTTATACTATCAGACTGTTTAAAAAACAGTATCGGCTTCTACCTTGGCGGAGGAAGCTCAGAGGCCTCACAATATAGCGTCACGGAGCTCCTATTGAATATTGACGCCTTAAGCCTATTTTGGGTGATTTAGGTATGCCTAAGGACCCTGTTCATCATATTAGCCACCTTGACCGTATGCGTGTGTTGTTGAAATTGAGTACGCCTATTTTGGGTGAATTGGGTATTCCTAAGCACCATGTTCCTCACAATATATATATATAGTGTGCGCGTGTACGCGTATTACCTGCACCCCTACCGGTACATGTAACACTACACGTTTCCATGCAAGTTAGGTTCGAACAAACTTCATTCGTCTTTGGAGACTCTAAAGAGCTAGCCATATGTAAACTTATGTAGTTTAGTAGGTAGGATGTGTCTGCGTATGCTCATTCAAGTTCTGGTGTATGAATATGTGCATGCGTAAGTGTGTTTTAACATACATCCTTGTTTCAACTTCATCATGTCCAGCATTAATTTTTGAATTGTAAACAATTGTATTGATTTTTCCGATAATGGCTTATTGAATATCTTTGTTCAGAACATATCATTCATATACCAACCAGCTAATATGTAAAACTACATTATGATGGTTGTAAGAAAAAGACTAAATAGTTAGAATAACAATGTTATCTATGATATTTTAAAGGATCCAATATAGTTCTTTGATATGCAAGTACTAATTATGCAATAAAAAATAAATGAGAGCTAAATTTATAAAAAGGCTGTTGCCAGTGGTCATCGAAATGTTTAATTAGATCATTAAGTTGCTTAGTTGGTGAGCATGCATTTCCTTCCCTCAAACTTCTCATCATAATAACAAACAGTGTTCAAGTTAACCTCACTGGTCCAACATGTTGTCTTAATAGAAAAATACTAATTACAGCCCTCCCTAACCATTGGAAGATGGGCTTCATGTAGAGCATTGAGTGCTTATGAGCTTCTATATATGAATAAACCTGTTATGCTATGAAGCACGGACACACAGAACATGAACCCGTGTCGTGTCGTGTCCGTGTAGGACATAAGTGTCGAACAAACATATCCTATGTATTTTTTAGGATTTGCCTCGTTTCGGCATGTCGGATGACCGTGTCGGATCAATGTCCGTCATACATAATTGTTATGTACTTTAATTACTGTGATAGCTTTGATCCGCAAACCTATAAAATGTATTACGCTTATATATGCTAACAAATTAAAATTCATTCTTTCATAACATAGAATTTTTGGTCTATGTTTTGATATTGAGATATTACTGGAAAATTATGTCGACTATGTCTTTTACTTTGTAGGTCCAGGTCATGCGTGCAGTAACTATTTTGGAACAAAGCCACCATCCCTTGATATAGTGAGGATATTCAATTTCAGTAATGAAGTATGCCGCAGGTACAGTCCAGCATCCCTTTTACATGCTCTAACCGCATAACAATCGAAGAGGAAAATTATACAGAAACGAGGATATGTATTTTCATCATTCTACTTATTGAAGTATTGATGCTTATTGATGTAGGATTCTTCAAGCACCATTTTCTTTACAACTGCATTATAATGCCTGTAATACGTCCTTTTTGCCATGTTCTTCTGATGGAATTGATGACACACATCAGAGCACTACTACCTTAGTGCAAAAAAAAAAAATACCTGCAGGAAGGAAGGCATCATCAGATAACAAAAAATCATGGAAAGATAAAGGCTTTACTAGGTAGAAAATTGGGATAAAATATCTTTAAACAAGATTTTATTGACTGATTGTTACATTGTTGCATTTTTTTCCTTTTCATCTTGCAGCTTGATAGTTGCTGCACCAGAAATGGATGTGGAGAGTATAATTGAAGATTTGCTACCAATTTTATCATATTATGCACCTTTTGCAATTTATCATCAATACCTTCAGGTGTGTTATGTCAACCTCAAGTTGGGAACTACAATCTACTTTTGCTATAGGTTCAGAAAATTGCACGATCTGAATAAAATGAATGTCTGCGGTGATAAGACACCATTGTTTTTCAAATGTGAATACTCATAGCAAATTGCATTTTAACATTTTGATGGGTTCAAGTACCACTTGCATTTTAACATTTTGATAGCAACATCTACACGTTGATGGGTAAGATTCACAAGAGCCTTAATATTCCTGCTAAGGACATGTTCTACTTTGGTATTGCATTGGACCTGAAGTCTCCAGCAGCTGATGTTGCTGCTATCAAGGTACTGCATTCATATTTTTCTGTATGGTCTGTCCTTTCCCTTTATTATTTCCCTTTCTTATTTCATATGCCTAAGGTTATCTGAAATGTTGAGATCTATTAAGTTTTAAATTTATTCACGTACTTGTATGGCCTAAACTATTTTCAAGTCCAAGTTAGATAAAAACTATAGTGTTTAATATGTATTTATTCATCTTCCCGTCTTTTTTTTTAGAGAAAAATAAGGCAAGGTGACCTATTCTTTGAAATTATATTAAAATATAAAACATTTACAAGAGGGATGCAAACATAACTTAAAAAGTCCCATATACAAAAGTTTATATAACAGTTATAACAAGATAGGGACCGAACAAATCGTCATAGTCACTCACCACAAGCTAGGATATAACAGTTGATAGTTCCCCCTTAATTTAGACATGGAATTTTGAAGCCTTCGAACAAAAGCATCACCTGAACATCAGCCATCATAATACTTTACAGAATAAAACCAAATAAAGAAAAAAATAAAAAAAATAAAAAAAGAAGAAGAAGAAGAATAATAATAAGAAGAAGCAAGGCTTAAATTGTATTGGCAGCCACTAAACCTTCTTCACCCTTTCTACAATTAGCATTTATTTTTTAGTTTTCCCCCTTAACTTCAAAGAGCCATGATGTAGAAGACTCTCATTTACTACCAAAAAAACTAAAAATTGCAAACAATTAGTAATCATTTTTGAGCTCCCCCCATTAACTTCGAAGAGCCATAATGTAGAATTCTCTCATTTAGAACTAATAATGGGTGATAGAGTATGATTCTGGATATTTTAGCCAATTATGGACACATGATTAAGCAAATATGGGGTTTATAAAATACATTCTACTATAGAAATAATGAAACTAAGGCAGTAAATTATTCAATGAATTAATTCTTCATCATTAAATGCATGTATTTTTTGTGCTTTTTTATTTATGACCTAATAACATTTATATATAAATCTAATCGGTATTGTTTAAATTATAATGATGAAGGTGCAGCAAGGTCTCAATTGGCTTGGCCACATGCTTGGGCTTTTGGACAATCTTCTGGAAAGCAGACTTTCGAAATAATATTGAATACAGCCCATTCTTAGAGAAAGTGACGGCTACCCTCTAACGTTGTATTACTCGTCTCAAATGTAACATTAATCATTCAGTTTAGTAGCTTTAGTGAGTCATCGAGTGAAACATTTGTACTGAGAGCATGACTCATAATGCATGTATAATGTTTGGACGATTACATCACAGTGAAAGAAACTGCATAAATACATAGGGAAACAGTTCATTGTTGGTAGATGTCGGCTGTTTGCCTTCTTAACTTGTAATTATTTTACATTCTTATAAGTTTCTCTCAAACGGTCAAATGTGTTCCTTT